TAATCTCTATCCACAACGCTTATGTGTAGAAAATATTAAGAAATAGTAACCCAAATGCTCCACATCTAAAACTACAGATGTTGAGTGCTTTATATAAATACATATATACATGTTTTGAGACTCACCACGTCGTTGCAGTCCATGTCACCATTTCCGATCACGCTCTAACTGATGACCCTCAGTAGTCTTGCAACATATTTTCCATTGCAAAATGCTTCTTTGTAAAGTTGTCAAGTCGTAAGCACGCCACTCCTCTCTGCGTGCATTCCATAATGTATCAGTATACGAAGACGATGGTTTCCCAGTATTTGTTTCGATAATCAGATCATGCAGAAATCCTTGGGTGATGTATCCGGCGACTTGACTGGAATGATTTCGTGTCGAATAACGTGAGTGTCTGTTTCGTTCTACAGTAGCTTGACATACGTGAAGGTTGAAAAGATATATCTTGGAAGTAACTTGTATACACGTGACTTTTCCAGGTGGAATTCCTTCTTGGTTATTTTGCGTACTGTTGCCTAGGGCACACAGACGGGATTTTGCTACTGCTCTTTGTATTCGTAGATTCTTACCTATTACAAGATGCCGCACTTTGCTTACGATGACTGGGGTACGACTTGTTGCTGGTAATTTTTTGGATAGTCCTAATTCCCGAATTTGATCTATATTCCTTTGTTTTCCTATGTTCGATTTGAGCACATATTCATGATCTGAATGTATGAATATTTTGCGCTACCCTACCTAAAAGCAATTAATTTTCGGTGGCATCACGCTACCCACATAAAGCCAATCAGTGTCAAAAATGTAGTTGTGATACGTTCTATTCCACCGCCACTTTATATCAACTATGGTTGTCACGAGACTTACTGACTTGAATATTCAAAATTGTTTTAATATAGTTTTCTCTATTTTTGTCTACATCCAGCCGTAGGCTAGTTGTTGTTCTTAATGAAAGGGCCCGGCATGGCCAGGTTGTTAGGATGCTTGACTCGCAATCTGAGGGTTGCGGGTTCGAATCCCCGTCCCACCAAAAAATGCTCACCCTTTCAGTCGAGGGGAAGTTATAATATGACAATCAATCCCACTATTCGTTGGTAAAAGAGCAGGCCAAGAGTTGGCGGTAGGTGATAATGACTATCTGCCTTCCCTCAGGTCTTTCACTTTTAAATTAGGGACGGCTAGCGCAGATAGCCCTTGTGTAGCCTTGCTCGAAATTCGATATCTGAAATTGACATTTCATCCCTGTTAATTAAAAAAAATGGAATTCTCCTCGTAAACAGTAAGAATAAAATACATCACGAAATCAATGGGCTGTTAAAGTTCATGCTTAGTTGCAAAGATGAACTTAAATAACCACATTTTCTATTTACCACACATGTGAAATATCCCAAAGATAACTTAATACGTGATTCGCGCCAAGTGTCTAGCCTATACTGAGAATATATATATATATGAATGTGTAAACGTATATGTATATATATATATATATAAGTAAATAATGTTGTTGAAAACCATTAGGCTTCAGACTTAAAACTGAAAGATTATATTACAAAGAGCATAATTCGTTTTCTTACGAATTTATCAAAATGAACTCGACTTCAATATCAAATAAAATCTTGGATGAATGTATAATTAAACTAAATTCTGTCATTGTTTGTCCACCTACATTTTTGTCTAAAATAGAACACTTTACTTTAAATAAAGTTAAACAAATACCTAAAAAATAGTTTAAAGAACTATCCAATATATTTGTTATTTTGTCACTTTCAAAATGAAATTAAAACAAATTCAAGAAAGATTTGGTACAAATTGGGAAAATTTGTATGTGTTTATAGAATAAATCAGACTTATTTCACACAATGATATGGAATACTATCCATTTTAAGTGAAAGATGTGACACAGATACCAGTATTTACTGTCTATTATCAACAAGTAGGTTTAACACTTACTGTTCATATTTAGTACGTATGTTCGACACAAACACTTTTCACTAACAGTAAGTTGTTTGACACATGTGCTGACACTTACTGTTCGTTGTTAATAAGTATGATCACATTATAATCTTCTGTAAAAGAATCATTAATATAATTTTTGTACATTTGGAATACTAAGTCTTAACTTTCAAATTTCGTCAATAGTAGCTACCCTATTCTGTACTCTAAATTATTAGTTTCGTAACGTAAAGGAGATAAATATAGATATAATGATTTTTAGAAATCTTTCAACAAAATAATTGTAACAATAATACAAGTAGTCTAGTAAACAAAGTTTGTGAAACGATAATAAATAGAACTTTATTTTTCTACTGAGAAAGATGAGTTGTTGCAGATATTACAGTCCACATTAAGTTAAGCTGTTGCTGATACCAGCACTTACAGTCCACATTAAGTTAAGTTGTTGCTGACACCAGCACTTAAAGTCCACATTAAGTTAAGTTGTTACAGAAATCAGAACTTGCAGTCCATATTAAGTATTTTCATATTCCAGCACGTGCATTCCATATTACGTTGAGTTGTTGCACATACCATCACTTACAGTCCATAATATGTGGTATTTACACATATACCACCAGCTTTTATGGTTCATTATTAGGAAGCTGTCTCCACGAGATATTAGCACTTAAATACATTGAAAATACATTGAGTTCACGTAGATACTAATGCTTACTGTCTATTGTTATTAACTAGGCTCACCATATATCCCAAAATTTACAGTCCACTATCGATCATTTGCATTGACACATATACCATTCCGTATTGTCCATTTTAAGTAAGTAGATGGGATACAGATACCAGTATTTACTGTCCATTATTAACAAGTAGGTTTAACACTTACTGTTCATATTTAGTACGTATGTTCGACACAAACACTTTTAACTAACAGTACGTTGTTTGGTACATGTACTGACACTTACTGTTCGTTGTTAATAAGCAGGTTTGACCCGGTTATCAGTACTTACTGTCTACGGTCAGTAAGCTGTAGTGACAATATTGGGCTTTGGCTAAAATAATAGGTTTCCTTTGTCAAAATATTTTTAGCACATATATTATTGTAACTAATGAATGCATGTATGTGTTTTGGTACCTATGTGTTTAATATCTACGCCTCTGATTTATTATTGTATGTAAAAAAGTGTGTAGTAACTACGAAAGTGTGTTGACAACAGTTTCTCCAGTGTGTGTGTTCCAGTTTCAAAAGTTTTTACGATTTTTGCTCCTATACAAGTATCTAATTAAATATTGCATTGTTAAATACATTTATTCTGAGGAACCAGTCAATCGGTTTGAGTACAGTAACTATTATATCTGTGTATAACAATCATATTCTCCAAGGGCATGTTTAATAAATGTGACATAGTAGTCCATTCTAATCAGTTCAAGATCTTGGCAAGAGCCAATGATAAACAGAGCTTGCGTATTAAAGGGAGCTTGCTCCTCCAGAGATCAACCAAATAAGGTGTGCCAACAGATTACTGTTCATACATAGGAAATAAAGTTACAGGAAAAACACAGGGCCAGGCACTTCAGTGATAATACTGGAATACGTTTGCATTCATTGAAACCAGATCACTTCAATTACAATAACAGTATAAGTGTACATATAAATCTGCAAACTGTGACACTTCTTAAATAAGTTTATAAATATCTCCATAAAGATTCGAATGAAACTTTTACGGTATCTTTAAACGAATAAATATAAACGTAGGGAACAAATGTTAATTAACTAAAATAGTATTTTAGAATACTGGTAACGCCAGGCCAGTTCAAGTGCAATACAAACGTAGGATTAAAAGTGAACGGGTGACACTACAACACGTCGATAATTCTTTCAAAATAGACTTACTAGAGTACTTGCTGAAAATAGCAATTCTGAGTTGATTGTTAGAATATGTTTGCAAGAATGTTAAAGCCCAGAAGCTTCAATAACATCTTTGAATTGTGCTAATTAGGATATTCTTAAACCAAAATGCTACATTAGTTACACAAGCAGAAAACATTTACAAGTATTCTCAGAAATCTAAGTAATGCTCGTAAATTTAAGCCATTTAGATTACACTATCAAGATAGGTTTATAAGAAGTTGTTTAATATAAGGGCACTAGCATTACATTGCTGCTGAAATGAATTTTCAGAAGATTGTTATAATACTACATTATTAAACTGTTAAAATAAGTATTCAGAACTCCTCAAAACTCAAGAGCAAAAAAATGTTTCACATATCTCGTAATACATAGACACTAACTGTGAAATCGGAATTATTTCATTGCACTGCTTTAAATAGATTTAAAATTCCACACGTAAACGTAATATCTGTAAGTTTATTACCAGAATATGTTTACAATAGTATTATACAACCAGGTTGCTTCGAATGCATTTCTTGTATAACTTTACAATACCAATCGTTAGGCTAGAAAATGTTTAACCAATTGCACTGTAAAATTTGCAAAGATGAGATTAAAGTCAGGTCAGTTAAAATTTTTTGTTGGAATCTATATATAAATATATATATATACAGCATCATATTGCTGAAATAGGTTTGCAATAATTTCCATAAAGCCAGTACTCTTCACTTCTACCGTTGGCATATGTTTTATGTAACACTCTTAGACAGAGTATTTTGTTAATACTGATAAGTTAGTTTTACTATAATCATTTTAGAACTGGGACGCTTTCACTACATTGCTGGATTAGGATTTTTAAAACACATATTAATTCTGAACTCTGAAGTAGGTAAACAACTGTGTAAAATTGCTGTTTTCATTTATTTAAGATCTTTTTTTTCTTCAAATTCTTGAACAAAACAACATCTAACTTTAAAATATAAATAAGTTTTAATTTAAATTTGTGACAATTGCGTATATTAAAATCTACGAACGAGCGTAGAGTTACTGAGTTTTCTTTTATATTTAAATATTACTGTACGAGCTTTAAAATTTAATCTTGGAATGTAGAGATATATTTTGTTTGTATACTTTTATATTTTTCCCAATCATTTTTTAGAATTTCTGGGTGAAGACATGTTGCACACCACTAGAGAAGGATTAGAATAAAGGACCATCAGTTTAGTACCATGTATCACTCACAGTCGTATAACAGAGGTGCTATTGACCTGGACAATCGCGTTATTCTGAACATTGGGGGAATTCGCTTTGAAACCTACAAGGCCACATTAAAGAAGATTCCAGCTACTCGACTGTCCAGACTTACAGAAGCTTTGGCCAACTATGACCCAATCCTTAATGAATATTTCTTCGACCGCCATCCAGGTGTTTTCGCTCAGATTCTTAATTATTATCGAACGGGCAAGCTCCATTATCCCACCAACGTCTGCGGTCCCCTTTTTGAGCAAGAATTAGAATTCTGGGGATTAGACGCTAACCAGGTGGAGCCATGTTGTTGGATGACTTATACTGCCCACAGAGACACTCAAGCCACTTTAGCCATCCTAGAAACCTTGGATATTGACTCAGAAAAGCCCAGTGAAGAAGAACTCGCCAGAAAATTTGGCCATGAGGATGAATATTTTGCCGGGAAGCTATCTTGCTGGCAGAAGCTTAAACCTAAGATCTGGTTGTTGTTTGATGAACCTTATTCGTCCATGGCAGCAAAGGTAATAATTCTATTTACTTTCCTAAAGATAAGCTATGTCACCAGTTCAAACATAATAATAAAAAAGGGGAAAATTAAACTCTAATAAAGTTAGGGAAAATAACATAGAAACTTTAACTGTGTATTCACGCTTCTTTATAATCGAGTGTATAAGGTTGTCCAGCTTTCCAGCTAAATTGAATATTCATGTGGTTTGTTACCTTTTAATTTTGTAATTCAATACAAAGCTTATAGGTCTAAATAAAAAATATATTAATGTGATGTACATGTGTTGGATAAGAAAATTACTGAAATTGTATGCATCTCACGAACCCATCTGATCTCATCAACTCTGATGTCTTAATAAGACCCATTCAAGCGTTCATTGGTCGCTTCAACAAATACATTATCCATTCAATAATTTTATATACGTATATGAATCATATACAATCAGACATATAATCCATTAAAATAAATAATTTCCTGTAAACGTTTTGTTTTGATTTTAATTATCACTTGACACACACGTTATTTTACAGACAAAACGCAGCTTCCAGAAACTTCCTCACGGGAAGAAACGAAAACTCCTTTCCTTGGCATTACTGTGGATTTACCTATTAATGCTGGTGAGAGATGATCATGCTGAACACTCCACACTTAACTAGTCTTGTTGTCTGATATGAATTCGAGAACTTCTTAGAGGATTTTACAAAAGTTGACGTTGGGAAAGCATGAGTGCTAAACCTAGCTGGGCAGTTCCAAACAACTTTTGCAATTAGATAATATAATATAGCATGAAGGCCTATTTTAGAAAAGAACACCACGCATATGTAATGTTCTAAAGAACCTAACTAGTAACTACAACGAAATTAACAAAATTTATTGAACGACATTTTCAAATAACACTCGCTTGAGATGCATCACTATGATAAGCATGGGGCTTTGCAAGTTAATGTACTCTAAAATATTCTTACATCACGGAAATGTGGCATTACTAAAACTCCAAAAGCGAACTATTATGCTATGGAAATTCGTAATTTCTGTCATTTTGTAATATATTAAAAAAGAAAATCGTTGCCTCTTCTTTTTGCGTTTTTTTTTTGTATATTGATCGAGCCATGTTTAAGCATCGTACAATAAGATACAGATTACTTTATTAAATTTCATTTTATTGTAAATGAATATTGTTAATATTGCACGTTGTTCTATGAATTTAATAAATAATTTGATAACTTACAAAAGCCAACTATCTTATTTCGTAGAAGTTTTTCATTGTTTCGATACACACACACACACACACACATATATATATATATATAAACACACAGACATCTCAAAAATTGACATTTTACAAACTTTACAAGAAGACTGTCATCGATTTGCTATATAAATTAGCTTGTGATTGCAGTAAATTAATCTTACAGGAAACTATTTGAAAATTAGAAGATAAACAATGTCTTTCTTTAACATTGATCTATGTGGCATTGTGTCTACGTGTTTTCCCGAAGTCGCTGGTGTAATTTGGTTCCATTTTTATTCAAGTTCTGTTCAGAGGCTTTCTTTATTAGAGTTGGTACTTCTCTCAAGCATGAAGTCCAACAAGTTCCAAATTTATTCTATAGATTTTGTGGCGGCTATCATATGCTAAAGATCTTCTGAGCTTTCTTTCTTTATCAAATAATTTCGAAATTTCTAATAAGTGTTTGGAGTCGTTATCTTTTACATATATGTAGTTTGACCAATCATTTGAAGTCGTTGTCTTCTACATATATAAAGTTTGACCAATCATTTGGAGTCGTTGTCTTCTACATATATGTAGTTTGATCAATCATTTTCTTTCCAGAAGGTATAGCATGATGAACTAAATATACTTGGCGTTTATGCTGTTCCATAATTTCACCAATTTTGTGAAATAACCAAAACCATCCACAGATGTCTCACCCCTAATCATTACAGAGCCTCCAGCATGTTTAACTGTTGGCACAGAGTGCTCCTTCTGCAACTTCATATTGACTCTTTGGCGAACATATACACGCGTGGTTGGAACCCAAAACTGTTCCAAAGACCAGGATACATGTTCTTTCACAGGCGTTATTCTCTTTGCTATATTCTATATGTGCAGTAAGTAGAGCTTTCATGCTGCTACTCTCCTCTAAAGGCCACACTTCTCAATAATTATTGAGACTTCAATTCTTGAAGAAACTTTATCTGTGCATGACTTGTTAATGTTATCATAAAGGTTTTGCGCAGTGTTTCTAAGGGTTTTTCAGTGGATTGATGTTTAGATATCTAGCGCCTCTTTCCGTGAGTTTTGTTACCTGTCCGTGTAAGACTTGGTTTCCGTGTATTTGTACAATGTGCACTTCGCAGTACTTGGTGAACAGCATTCAACAATTTTTCTTAAATTCTAACAATCACCATCTAAAGATTTGTCTTTATTAAAGGTGTTAATTCTCTCTGTTTTAGAATTGTAATAATAAAAACACACTATATTAGCTGAATTGGGCGATAGTTTTGAGGGAAAACAATATCATCTCTTATATGTCAACATGTACATGCATAAAAAATCAAAATGTGAACATATTGAATGACTGCCTTTAGTTTCTGTAAAAGTAGCCAATGACAATGTCGTACTTAGATTAGATATCTTGAATTATTAACAAATCTACTACACCACTTAACCAGTTGTGACTATGTACTACTCTCTTATTCTAAAATGACTGTGGACTTATACGCTAAAAACTAAATTTCAAGATAGCCCATTGTGTAGCTTTCTGCTTAAGTACAAACAAACAAACTTGTACGTTGCATATGAAAGTCATGGATGAAGTGAAAAATCAATGATTTACTTGTATTGATGTTTTTTCCAACATTTTAAAATACAATAGTTTTACTTCATATACACAATTAACCCAAACCACGGGTTATTATATGGTTATTATAGTTATAATATACTAGTACATTTTCTAAAAGCCATAAAAGCTACATCTATCAATCGTTCGACGAGTAAATGAAATGATGAAAATAAAAAAGATGAACATCTGGGTGAAATCGCAAAAAAATAGACAAAAATTTAAATAAATATAAGGATATATATATTAATTTGTTTGAATTTCGCGCAAAGCTACACGTGGACTATCTGCACTTGCCGTCCCTAATTTAGCAGTGTCAGACTAGAGCGAAGACAGTTAGTCATCACCACCCACCGCCAACTCTTGGGCTACTCTTTGACCGCCACAATATAACTCCCCCCACGGCTGAAAAAGCGAGCATGTTTGGTGTGACGGAGATTCGAACCCGCATTTTACGAGTCGAGCAACCTAACCACCTGGCCATGCCGGGCCCGGATATATTCATATTTTCTGTAGTTCTGATATAGCTTGGAGAATGGAGGAGAAAAGCATATATTCAAAAAGTAGGTTAGAAAACAAAGGTTTTAAAACACTAAATTAATAATTATAAATCTGTCATACTCTGATACGGTCACTGCTTCTCACATATCGTGTTTTTACATAATTTCACGTCTTAATGTCTTATATCTCGTAAATAATTAATTTTATATACGTCATTTGAAATGTGTGGTCCTATGAATAATACAAAGCTTTACTTTTGCAGAAGCAACAAAATATTATTGTTCATTTTAATGCCATCTAGTGGTCATTATCTAACTATAATATTACCGTAATTGTCTAAGATTAATCGATCAGAGGAACACGTTACAAATAATTTAAAAAAAAGAAAGAGGAAAAACGGAAGCTTATCGTTTTAATCAAATAAAGATTTTAAAAAGTTCTATAAATTCAGAAAATAATAGCTGATGATGTTGCTTGTTATATGTACCTTCGACCTGGAATTGGTGTAAAATATTTTGTTTTAAGATGTATATAGTTGAATAATAGCAATGTAGTGGCAATAATAGTTTACATTGAAACCGTAGTCGTGGTCGTATTACTGATCACTGATAATAAATTAAAATTACATAAACATGTTCATTTGGCGGTCTGGTAATATATATCAAACATTTACAAATATTTTAAATACTTCGAATTTAATAAATAACCTAACATTACATATCGATTAACAAACATTAACACTTTGCCTAACATTAATGAAAGATTGTTCGTTGGATTTCTTACAAAATTATTGAGGAATATCCGCGCTAGTCGTTCCTAATGTCGGGCTCCCCAGTGGCACAGCGGTATGTCTGCAGACTTACAACGCTAGATGCCTGGTTTCCATACCCGTGGTGGGCAGAGCACAGATAGCCCATTGTGTAGCTTTGTGCTTAACTTCAAACAAACAAACCTAATGTCGGAGTGATAAATTAGACTAAAGGGGAAAGCACCTAGTCAGCACCGCTAACCGCCAACTCTTGGGCTACTCACTCTCGTCAGGCCGAATTATAATACACCCACGCCCCAAACTGCGAAGCACGTTTTTTCTTTTGCGTTTTTTTTTTGTATACAGTAACGGGACCCGATCTGTGGAACTATAGTCCGATACACCAACCACTGCGCTGCGCTAGACTCGTTAGTGAAAAAAATAGTGCAAATTTTCGAGCGTTTACGCAAAGCCACATCGGGCTATCTACTGTGTCCACCGCATGGAATCGAACCTCAGATTTTAGCATTGTAAATTAGTAGTGTTACCATTGTCTCGCCGGGAGACATTTTCGAACGTAACAAAAGAACGTTGAATTACTCTGAACATATATTTTGTTTTTTATGCTATCATCATTTTTGATTGTAAGTGGAAACTTGCATAAAATGGCTCTGCACGTACATATGTTTAAATTTATACACGTGTACAAGCATTGCAGTGTATAAACTGTGAATAACAAATTTCATTTGAGCATTTTTTATTTTTTTATTTTTTGGTAGCTGTATCCTAATTAAACATGATCTCATGAGCAGTATTAAACTCGTAATAAATGCTAGGGATTATCAAACTCGAAGGCTTAGCTGCTGCCGCACATCCAAATTTCGTCATTAGTTTACATTCAGCAAGTCGCCCTTACTGCAC